AAGCGTCGTCAGTCTGAAGCTGAGGAGCCGGCACGGAGCCCAGCTGGTCCAGTGGCACTCATCAGCGCTCCCGTCAGCACTCATCAGCTCTCCAGAGCCGGCGTCAAGACCCCAGCATCAGTCGTTCCGTTTGATAGACCGGCCCGACGCGGGCGCCGCAGCAGCGGCCGAGCGCCGCGCCGGAGATACGGCCCGAGTCGGCAGCTGATCGCGGCCCCGGATGTAGGTGAACCACCGCTGAGACAATCAGTATTCTGACCGGGCAGCGACATTTCCAGGCTAACGAACGGCTGGGGAGGGCGCCTAAGAGGCGTCACGTCCAGTGGACGTGCTCTGGCAGTGGAGCTAGGCCGGCGAAAACGTACGACCACGGCAGAGCTGCGAGACCGTGGTCAGAAGCCCAAAGGCCGGACCCCCAGCATAGTCTCGGGGATTGATACCGGATTAACCACGGATAAAGCCGGATTAACCACGAACATCGTAAAGGCACACTGCTACAAGTACCAGGTATGAAGGTACACTGCTAACACATATTCTGCTACCAAGTTTGAAGCAGTTGCACCACATTTTGATGAAAACCAAGACGTCCGGTTTCGTAAACAAAATGACACTGGCGGATGACCTGAACCGATGAGAAGTACTCGCATTCTAGCCCATACCTTTTCAACACCGAGAACAAATTTAGGCCGTTTTAGCCAAGAACAACTGGAAACTAACATCACTAGCGTCCACGTTCCGATACATGTCTCGGTGCTGCATAATTTGCAAAGCATTCATCACGACCTCCACGGCCCGGATCCACTGACCAATTGAACTATCACCTGGGCGGTTCACAGAAACCACGCGCACGAATTCAGCCATCCTCTGAACGGTCTCCCTCGACAAGACTGCCCAGGATTGGACGCGGGCAGTTGTATAGACTCTACGCAGGATTGGACGCGGGCAGTCGTATAGACTCTGCGCAGGATTGGACGCGGGCAGTCATATAGACTCTGCGCAGGATTCGACGCTGGCAATCGTACGATGTGAATCGTTCACGCTCCACGCGCGGTGGGGCCTTTGATATGGCGGCGGGCGCGCGGCCATGGCATGTCATGAATGCGAGCCATCACGCAAGCTTCATTAACGTTTTGAGACTCGACTGACTGCCGTCAAACCGCCCGAGGCGATCAGCGCTCCACAGCACAGCTGCAGCAAGGTGCGAGAGGTATGCCGCGATGTTTGCAAAGCTAACAGCGGACCCGACGTCGCGGAGTGCAGGCGGTCTTTAGTCATGGGCGTGCGGCCAGAGCATAATCTGATTTGGTGCAAAAGTATCTTGCATGCTCTGACATCATGTAGCGGCTGGGAAGCCAGGGAACAGGGTCTTGGAGGAGTGCCAACGTAGCAAACCCGTCCACTTCGGATATCAGATAGCGGGCCCTGCACAAAGCAGTGCTAGCAACGGAGGGTATTGTTTGTAAATCGATGTGTCCAGACTGCTGCTTGCATCCATTCAAATATATTTGCATCACATGTCACTCGGAAAACCTTCTGCATGTTACTAGAGGACTTGATAACACGTTTTCCACCGCCGTGGTCTTTGTATTTTTTGCAACTTCTCCAGATATGAAACGTCGCAGCCCCACGTTTCATTTACCGCCGTATGAAGAACCTGTAGTCTCCACCGCGTCACTGGAGAGGTGTTTCTCTACTGCCCAGCGGCAGCTTAAAAAATTTCATAACTTGCGCAGAGCAGTTTTCAGTTGAAGCAATTGAAAACGAGGTTCGTTGTGTCGCGCCAAATGGGGCGTCGAGACTAGTGTGAAATACGTGGCGGGCGGAAATCAGGCGAGGACCCTGTCGAGTTCTGTGTCAACTTCCGGCAGACGTACCTGCAGCAGCGCGATCACGATCCGCGTCGTGCCACTCTGCACGGCGATGGTGGAGAGCGTGGTGGCATCGCCCTGCTCCTGGGCGCCCTCCTGACGCCCCAGACACTCCAGCCCGTCTCCTCCGCCCGCCATGTCCCGCGGGTCACGAGCCTGCCCTCGGGCACGGCGACCTCACGCCGGGTCACACGCGAACGGTGGTCACGTGGGCGGCGCCCCAGCCCCGGCCGGCTTCTCCGCCCGGCTCCGTCACGGCACGCGCGGTTCGACCACGGAGACCAACTGGACGCTGGCGCCCGGCGCGTCACGCAGCTTCAGGCCCCGGCCGCTAGGTGTCGGGCCAATCGCCCGCGGTGATTCGGAAGACATGACGCTTGCCGTATTCGCCAGTAGATGTCCCACCGACCTTAAGGGGCTTAATCACCTGCATCCGAACATATAGGTGGCTCTGCAGTTGCACCGGAACTCTTGCTTTTGAGGCAGCTTGCCAAGGCAGCTGCTGTTATTCGCATCAATTGCCTTCGTGTTGCAGACTACAGTAACCGTATGTAACTCAACGAAGACAGCCCTAAGGACACTACACGATACACCGCTACACCTGCAGTGATGCTCTGCGTCTTTTGTTTATTCAAAATGTGTTACCATGCCTTTTTGAATCATTAGAACGCATCCTTAAGGCAAGCGTCGTATCTTGGTCGGCATTGTCCCTACAATGCTATTTTTGAAATGCAGACAGGAAGGATGATGAACTGCCCCCTACAAGAAGGTTTTGCGTCACTAAACAACTGTTCATTGCAATTACGAAATGTACGGCAGAATTGGACCCAATTCGAGAAACGCAGCATGGGTGTCGTATCCCTCAAATGATGGGGGTCAGGTTCATCACCGTGACCATAAGGGGACAGATCCAAAAAGATAATAAAAACAGATTCAAATCGGATTTTGCGTCCGATCTTCTGTTATATATATATATATATATATATATATATATATATATACATATATGTAGAATAGCGTGTCCGGCGTACACAATATATGTGACTATCACAGCCCATTTATACGCACGTTCTGGATGCACCAGAATTTCATCGATAAATCGCATGCATTTAATTTCAACTTTTTGTAATTTATTCATATAGTTCATTGTTAATGCTAATTTCACGTATAATCTAAGCAAATGGTCCTCCGCAAATACGCTCAGGCAGATGTCTTCCTGTTGATAATTCCTTTTTCCCGCTCCTTTGAATAAACACGGATTGCAAGCCAGCTGTAGTCTGGGGTTCACTATTCCAAGCCCTCATGCCTCTGAAGGAAAAGGGACGCTCATCCATTTTAGTTTGAGCGTGTAAAAAATTAACACCGGTTATATCAATGACACACGCGATGTAGGATGGTTGTAATGGCGTTGCTTGTTGAGCTGGCTCTTAAGTTACGATGCGATGATACTTACGTACGCATACTCGGTACTCAATGAGCTTACCCACGCAGGAGCACCGCCAGAGTTTCGGTAATTCGGGGACTTACCAATGCAGGAGCACCGCCAGAGTTTCGGTAATTCGGGGACTTACCAATGCAGGAGCACCGCCAGAGTTTCGGTAATTCGGGGACTTATCAACGCAGGAGCACCGCCAGAGTTTCGGTAATTCGGGGACTCACCAATGCAGAAGCACCGCCAGAGTTTCGGTAATTCGGGGTGGGGTACAATGTCGACCAAGGCCCGCCGGGTGAAAGGCCCTCACCGATAAAAGAGGACACTGCGAATGGCCCACTGGATTTCGAAAGCAGCCCTGCCTTTCTTAACAGCCAGGATGCACCGATAGATGCGGTTCTGTGCCTATTTTGAGGCCAGTAAACTGGGGAAACACACCGGTGCTATTAATCTTACAACGTTTCAGTAGACTCTTTCTAAGACGATGATACTCAAGGGCTATGCCGGATTTTGTTCTGGGTTACACAGGGACATCGTGAGCGTAGATCTTAGCTCGCAATGGGGTCGTAAATTTGCATTCATATCAGCCTGTTTTGGTATCAGAATGATCACCTTTATTTAGAATTGAGAAGTGGAAGAGTTGCATTGGTGGATTCATTACAACCCAGTTTGGCCATTCGCACTCGAAAGTCTTAAACGAAAGCCCCGACGCCAGGCGTTGCAGTCTCCTGAGACCACGCGGCGTCCATCCCCCCTCCCTCCCCCTCTAACAAACGCTAGGCGGTGGCCAACAGGCGGACGGAAATGGCTTGATAACGCTTTGTTTTCATTTTCCGGTAAGACGTCATAGCAAAATAACGCAGCTTGTTGCAGTCTGTACGACGTGAAACATCGATGAGTAATGCCGAAACACTCCTACTATAGCACAAAACTAGACCATAGTCAATAATAGGTATATATAGTTAAAGGCATGCAGCATGTAGGAAAAACAGAAGAAAAAATAAAACACGCGGCACGACCGCGGAACGCTCAAAATATGACTAACTCAACCAGCTGCACGAAACTGAACATAGTATCGCAGTTTTCATTTCTTTGGTCCTTTTACCCGTGAAACAATACCTAGAAAGCTTCTTTAAAGTCATAAACTGTGAAGCTTCCATTTTGAATGTCCTACATTTATTTGGGCTCCAGAAGGTCAGAAGGACAAGCCGTCGTTGGGGTGGAGCGGGCATACCAAATATTAGATGTTGGGGGGGGGGGGGGGGGCAGTAGCCCATCCAAAATAATACAAATCCACGCCGGTGCAATGCGGGTAATGCCCCTCAACTTGCTGCAACAATTGGTAAGATTGACACACATCTACATTTTTGGACTTGCAGTGATCAGTAGCATCTTTGAACGAATACTGTTTCGTAAATGCTAGGTTGACAAGAAACCTAGTGGTTTAAAGTAAAAGTCCGTCCCCTAGTTTTCAATTACTCAGATGTGCGTATGAATTCATCATGCACAATTAAGATTGCTCACTGATATGTCAGGAAAGAAATCAAACATGGCCCTCCTCCTGCACAATCAGTACAATCCGTCTTTCGTAACAAGGCTGTGTCAAGCTCAATCGAACTTGATAATATTTAACCGAAGGCACCCAAGGTGTTTGTACCACAACCAGCCACTACATAACCACCCCACTGGCGCTTGAAATCCACCTTCTAGGGGTGAAGAGATCGACACCTTCAACCCGCATGGCACGACATGGCACGGCACGGCGCGAGAACAGGACAGGACAGGACAGACAGACATGCAGACATTCAGACAAATGCGCGATATTAATTAGTTGTTTAGATTTCTTTGGTTTCCGCTCAATGCAAGTCACCTAAATAACTCAGCAGCGTACGCCTGGCTGGCTGGCTGTATGTGTGCGTGTGTGTGTAGGTGTGTATACTTTGTAGCCGAACTAACAGCACAGACGGCTCCATAAATGGCCGTGACATTTGTTCATACAACGGGTTTAGCCTTCGTGACAATCCACGACGTAATTCCGTGTCTGTCGGATACCGGCGCCCATCACAGCGCGGCAAAACAGGAGTATGGTTTGGCATTTAGCAGGGATACACTTTTCGTACATGGAAGCGAGACTCTTGGAAGTTGCACAGAGTCAAAGCCGTTGATAACATACTGCAGCGCTGTGGGAACGATATCTAGAAAACTCTCACACGCAAGGGCACCGCCAATTGACTCAGTTTCAAAAGCTATCAAAATCGTATCAGGACACGCTGCGTCACGTATATACGAATCATCTAAATATGTTTGAAGGCGGTGCTATGCATACACTTAAGACATCGCATATTTGCGAAGCCAGTACGAACCGCCGTTTCCGTTTTTGTTTTCTTTATAAAAAACCATGTCTTTAAGACGCAAAGCAAACCCGAGGGACTCGTGGGGAGAAACTCGCGTTTGTAGATGTCAGCAGCAGATGAAGAAGCATTTGATTTGTATCTATTATGTGGTAAACAAAAATATAGCAGTTTTGTGAATTCGCACATTCCGTACGCACTGAAAAATCCCACAACGATTCTGTTGAATTTATCGGTCCAATCAGGACATTTTCGTCATCGCAAAAAGTTCACGAATTCTACGCAAAAAAAGCAAACAAACAAGGAGGATCACGTCTGGTTTCGTCTGTATCAGTGCATTCGTTTGCTCGTTTCGCTCTCTCAGCGAGTAGTATCTCCCACAGCAATGAGACTAAAGCCGTAAGCAATGCTAGGCTCGCGTGGACGTCTGGCAAGAATTGCCGGCCTCGGCACGGAGCGCAGCCCGGCTGGCCGCGCGGGCTCGTGTCGGCCGATGCATGGCGCCGTCCCCGGAACACGCTGTCGCAGAGCCCAGCATCCTCAGCACCCGGAGATGCAGCCCTCCGCCAGGCCTGACCTTGGGGTCCTCCGTCAACCCACCTGCAGGTAACAACCAGTTTCGTCCGGCGATCCCGGAACCTGAGTGAGACCGTCGGTCTGTCCGGCGGTCAGTCACTCAGCAGCCTCACGAGCGACCTCATGTGCTCCCTGTGGATCCTCCTGCAGGTTAGCTGCTCCCATCTGCGAACCGCTTGGGGCGAGCTGTGCGCATTGAGACGCTGTGATATGTCGCTAGAGATTAGTGGCAGCCGCTTGCTTGCGGAATATTTCCCCAGAGGCCACACGTGGCGGCGGGATATCTCACTGCGGGTGGGAAGAAACCGTGCATCGCTTCGTTTCCATAAACAACTAGAGTATCCTAGTGATTATGCTGGTAACAAAAATACTCAATCACCTTCCATTATGCGTAAAATGCAATTAATGTGGTTATCCAATAGGGACGGGCTGGGTAAACCCATGGGTGCTCATATATACATAATGAGGAATGGGTTGGAATACCACCAGATTTTTGGAAAATCATGGGAGCGGATAGTGATAGACTTTGACAAAAGGTAAGACTTTACCGGCTGGACGCCTAAGATCAATCCACATCTTGTTCCTGGCTGTGTTTCCTTTTGTTACGCTTGCTTTATTCACACTACTTCGGCAGTTAGGTAACAGAGTAAATCTGGTTGTTAGCTTTGATGAAACTTTCCCCTAACCTAGAGCTTAACCGCCGAAAAATATGGACCCGGGATGCCAGTGGGTGGGTTCAACTGATAAAGAATGAGTAGTGGATGGATATGGGCATAGCCCCATCAACAGTGTGTAGATTGGGTAATCAACCTTTACCCACGAAAATCTCTGTTATCAAATGGTCCTCTGTTTCTGGGAGACTCGAGAGCCAAAATTTTGTAGTGAACACTTCCGTAGGTAAATGAGCTACCGT